GTATCTTTGATTCCGTAAACTTAATCCTGGGATACGAGAAATCTAAACATTTTAATAATTGGAAGCCAAAATACAAATAAAAAAGCATGGTCCAGTTTTTAGGTAGCATCTTCCAACAGAAATTTTCTTATTTGCCCTTTCATCTTGTAGGGCCCAAAAAATGTCTTGCTATATATATGATCCTGAGCGTCTGTTGGCGCATCTGTGTTTAAACACGCCTCCCTACAATCACCGAAACACCAACGTACAGAAATAACATTTATTTTTGCGAGTTAGCGCTGACGAGACTGAAGCAATGATTAAACCAATGATTGCTATCGTTTAGAATTACAATGCTATGGTTCATCATAGCCCAAATATAGCTTGAAGACGTGGGACGTGGTGTTAAATGAAAAATTATAGTGTTGTGTGCCGTCTGAATATACTTGCACTGAAGGACGGTGCATGCTCCTCCGCCGCGTGAAACGGCCAAGATGCGCATGTTATGAATAACAAAGGCCCTAACAAGATTCCTTGTGGAACTCCACTAATGGAGTGAGATGTCTCGAGACTGTTTTTGATGGGTACTGACGCCTTGGTTCCTCTCACAACCGAAGATATTATTCCAAGTGAGATCAAATCACAGATGCCAAAGAGAATCATAGAATTTTGGACATGCGCGTTGGGAGAGCATAGTTAATGGGGAGAGGCAGCGCAAACAGATTTCTTTGATGTTGCATTGATATCGATATACCACATCAAGAACAATGAAGTACAACGTCTGTGATATAATAAATAAATTTACACGATATATGCATGTGTATGTCGGATGTGGATCGTTTGGGAAGAAAGATTCTGATGTCGTTGCCGGACAACAAGGCATCATGGTATTGATATAGATTGACAGATATTGATCAAACAGAATTTAAGGTGGATCATCATTTGCAAAACGTCAAATCGGTTATTTGATGTTCGACTCGTAATCTTGGCTTCTTTCAAGCAATTCAAGGTTAAACTTGACCAACTTGTAAAGCAATCATTTAACTATGCTGTGGTATATTCAGATTACATTTTATGCAGGTAATAAGTGATGTCCACACTATTTAGCATATTATGAACTGTTTTTACACACAAAAAAAATCGATTTTTCAGAAATTGGTCCGTTTTATTTTGATGAAAATTTTAGGATCCATTTATAAAAACATTAGACACAATCTGGCCAAGTTTTAAGAAATTCTTTGGAGAGCAAGTACTTTTTTGACTTTTTTATTTATCATGATTTTCTACTAAGTTTTTTAACAACATGATATTTAGAGCTTAAAGCTACGATGTGTCTTTTTTACCAGATCTCACTCCAGCTGGTGTTTGGATTAACATACGGCGATGAAAACAATCAAATACCCGAATAAATGGAGTATCATGAAGACATGTCTTAGCAAAGGAGCAGAAGAAAGATGAAAAGAAACGAAAGAAAAGCACAACAAAATCATTGAAAAGGAAAAACGGACTTGAGACGTTTTTGAGAAAAGGAAAAAATAGAATTATACAGAATCAGACAATGCAAATAAAATATCAAACAATACTACTGGAAAACCGATTAAATCAAATATTCTATTAAAGTGTTCTGTGTTGCCTATAAAATCTTTCAAGCTCTTCATGTTCGCATCCTTTCTGACGATAATCCTTTTTTTATTTATACTATTTTCATTAAGATCTAACAACAGCTGTTTTTAACCCTGACACTTCTCCGCGTCATTATTCTGTTGCTGTGGGTTCAAATTGGCCTTTACAACCCAATATAGAAAGGGAATAGATATAATTGTAAACTTGTCATTCGAGGCCTTCCTCGATAGCCATTATTCTTATTATTAAAATGAACACGACATTGAAAAAAGAACAATTAATATTTATTAAACTTCCGTTAATCGCCCCGGATGAGAGACATTTTACTCAAAGCTTTATTTCTTTTTGGGCTATATCAATTTACTGAGATGAAGTTTTTTTAAGTCATCATACTGTTGCCTAGTAACCTACTCGATTGTGACACCTTACGAAATGGAAGTCAATACGTTAAGCAAACTAAGTCGGTGGGCAATAATCGAGGATAAGAAACTAAGCCAGAAAACCTGTTTATGCAAAGGATATGTAAGGAGTTCGAAGATTAGGACTTCTTTGGGAGTAGACATTGTTCATAACAAGTTGTACAGTTTATAGAAGGTAAGCATATACTGATTTTTCTCCTTTCATCTGATTGGCTATTTTTCGCTTTATCGCCTGCGGAATAAACCGAAAACAGGCAAAATGTGTATTTAGTTTATTTAGTTTCACAAAATATCAACACCTCTTTGTTGGGTGATTTTGAATCAATTTTATATTAGGGCATTGATCTATATAATACTGATATACATGCAACAGAAGTATTGTTGAATCCAAAATCACTACCAAAAGGTCAGTTCTGTCAACATCGATGAAAACGTATAAAAAGTGAAAACTAGCTAAATTGAATAATAGAATGAATTAGGAAACATTTATAGCAAGGGCAATAACTGTTCAGTATTATAATATTTGCAAAAGGGATTAATACAAATTGAAGTGAATTGGATCTAACTTAGTTTTCTTTCTTAGCTTAATTAAAGCCGATTTATAAAAGAAGATTATCAGTCACCAATCTGATATTTTCGGTACCTTTCATGCTCATCGTTGGCAATCTTTAGTCGATTGTATTTTATTATTTTCTGTCTTAGTGCGTTTACTCAGGATCTAGAAAATAATATCATCTTGGCAAGCTACATGATATAAAGGTTATATAGTCTGTTGTTGCAATACTGCATGCTTTACACTTTCTTTTCTGGATTTCATTCAGTATTTCACTTTCTTGAGCGCAGCAAACATAATTTGCAGGCTACATGCACAATTTGTCTGGCTTTTATATTATCACATTATAATCGCCAAAGAAGGATTTGAGCTATGAGTATAAATTGAAGCAATCGAAAGTCTACGGTGTATCACCGTGTTATATCAAACTATAATTGGGGAGGCCGTAAAGGGGGATGCTTGAGTTTTTAAGCACTATTTTACAGCATCATTCAGAACAGTAAACGTCAGTCCATGATCATCTTTATGGACAACTTAGAACTTCAATTTACATCCGAGAAAGTGTGTCTTTGGTAAAATAATATTCTCTGTTTTAGACCAATCAGAGCGAGCGAATTCTTATGAGAAATTAAGTAAAATCAGTAGAATCAAGATTCAGTATTGAAATGATAAATAAGTCAAATACACCTTTGTAAAGTCTATAGTTTGTTTTCTTTTTGGTTGCACTTATTTATTGATATAAAATATACTTTGATCATAGTAATTTGATATCTCCATTAAAATGAAGCCGATGACGTTTACAACAAGAATGAAGAAGGGTAAGCACAAGTCGTCAGGTGCCGATAGAAACGAACCCCGTGATTGGCTGTTAAGACAATAATGGACAGCAATAGAACTAGATCCCAGTCTCTTCCGAACAATAAACCTCGATAGAAGTTATTAGAAAGCAATCAAAAAGCAAAATGGTGGGAACTAGGGGTAAACTAGTGTGAGCTGCGTCGGTGTTTCTAAAGAAACAGTTATGTAAAAAGCAAGTTAATCAAAAAGCAAGTTTCGATGGGTACTGTATTATTCAGACACAACTGGGAAACTGGGAAGACGGTTCATCGTCGAAGTGATCTTCAATATGCGTTGCATGTCTGCGATGTGATTGGTTGACCCGCGTTTGTCTATATGTAGTTCACCCATGTGCAGTTAATAAATAAGATAAAGATGATTTTACTGATTAAAAATAGTTTATTTAAAGTATTACTAACCGAATTAGTTAAAGCTGTGAAAAATACGATATCAGACTAAAATAATAGTCATATGCTCACTGAACTACACTACTTTTAGACCATGACTCAGTACCAAACCGAAAAATCCAGGAGCTTATACAATATTTCCCGTGTTTCTAGTAACAGATATTTATTTTTATTTATATTTATATCTATTTTTTAACTGTGTAGCTACTCCAAGAAAACACAACATGCACACATTCTACAAGATCATATATTCGTTCAAGTTTCACAGATCATTCGATGATTTCCGAACTTGATCCTGATTCAGGAAAACTGAATTCTACACTAGACAAAGGCTAAAAAATAAGTGGTCGACCGACATCCTTTACAAGCTTTCTTTATCAATAAATTCCTTTTAATAAAAATGCCGTCCCTGGGTGGGCTTGAACCACCAACCTTTCGGTTAACAGCCGAACGCGCTAACCGATTGCGCCACAGAGACTTATCTTTTTGAAATCGTCTTTTGAGTGCTTGATATTAATGAATATTATATCAGTATCTTTTAACAAAAATTATAGATTTCGCTGGGCTTAGACCAATAATCTTTCGGTTCCATCTTACCTGGATTCTAAAATACTAAAATATATGTAATGTTAAGATCACAGAGTCGATATGTATATTATTCTTGTTCGGTATATTGAGGTTTCGGCCGGTATTGTGCCAGTCAGGGTCATTATACAGTTCGACCGGATTTATATGCTTTTGTCCCTTATCGTATAGTGTCGGTCTGAGTGGTATATATGCCTTATATACTGCCTTTTCCGTTATTTTGAGATTTAGAGTCGTCAGTGAAAGAGTGCACATGACATGGAGGCCAAAGTTGGTCATTTTGACGTTTTATATGTCCACAAACGTTTAGCAGTTTGAATAATTTGTATGTCAGTAATGTTTTCCTTTTCTGATAAAAGTTACTGTCAAAAATACGATAAAAGGAAGACAAACGAACCATTGCGCATAAGACAGTGTATTGTTACTTGTCGATAATGGCTATTTTTCTAAGAGAAATGTCATCCGATATAACAGCTGTTATCGTGTCTTAGAGCACTTAAGAAGCTCTTGACAAGTTTGAATGTACGCTTCCTGGTAGAAGAGAGCTGATATCAAACGACAGAATGAATTACGAGAAATCTTATTTGCAGTGTGGAAAGTACAATTGTTTCTGGGTTAGTTGACGTCACATATCGTGGACTATTTCACGCAGGTATCTAATACTAAATTCGACAAATGTATACCTTCATGTAATGATTTTTGTAATGATTCACAAAAAGACAGGCTTCTGGATAGGTGATTCACAGCAAGTTTCGCGACTTCCACGGTGATCAATCAGAAATTATGTTTACAAAGCCAAAAAAATCCGCAATAGATTGATATTAAGGCGTAATAATGCTTGTCTATATTTTATAATTATCAGAATAGCACCCATTGGAAATCTTAAGAGGCAGTCAGGTTTCGCAGACAATCACCATATCAGTCACTTATAATTCATTCAATCAGTACATCCCAATCGATCGACTTCATCACCTATATGGACCCATTTTTAAATCGCTTTTATTTTCCTCTATACGAGATAACATAAGAAAACAGATCTAGACTCCGGAATCTTTCGAATCTAAAGCCATTTATGTATTGATTTTATAATATAGATCTGGAGCTCTCTTGGATTGGACCAGTCAGCCGGCAAACTCCTAAGTTACTATTTTATAATAATATTAATATTAATATTAATATACAGTTGTTTGCAATATTTCTGACCCCCCTACACTAACATTCATAATATATATCAAAATAGACTTAGAAATTATGGGATACCATTGCTGATATTTTTTTTTAGAAAGTACTCATTCTGGACAACTCGACATTCTGGACAAAAATATATCAGTCATGATATCCCATAATATTAAAGGTCAGTTTGATATATATGAAATATGGCAGAGGGGGTCAGAATTATTGCAAACAGCTGTATTGATATAATATAATATTAATATATTAATATATAATATAGTTAATATTTTTATTTTATTTTACTATTTTATTTTTTATTAAAGTTACTATTTTACCATAATGAAAAACCGACTCGAGCTACTATCTTTGACATAACATCTTCGTTGTTACTTTGAGATATTTTGGCTGTCTAATGTGATCCCTTCAGTACTCAATCACAAACTTTTGATCGTTCAAAACCTTATTCCTTGATGGAATACTGTTTGAAAGGAAGAAGACAGGGACGACCGCATACATTGCACGTTCAACATAGCCTTTATACGGCACTAACAAACGTTTGCCAAGTATGATTTCCGGGAATGATTATAAATTCATTTTCAAAGCCAGTTGTCTGAATTATAGAAGCCATAGCTTACTGCAGCCACAGGTGGGCTTAAGGTGTTTCGATCGTAATAAATATCGTTTCGCGCGTATTTTTAAACTCCAATTACGTCGCAAATTTCAATTCCATTGCACTCACATTTTCACAGAAGTCACAGTGATTATCGATAATTCTTGTTGATAAATTAATTTGCCAAAAAGCGAAGCCATTTGGATAAACGATGCAAAATAAAAACACCTTCATTTTTTGTTAAAGTCAATTTTCTCGAAACTCATCGCAGTGATTGTAATAACATAATTGATATATAAAGTATTATCAAGAGATTATTATTTATTATTATTAGATCCCATGTGTAGAAATGCCAAAAAATATATGTTTTAATGGTTTTTAATAGAGATTTTTTAGGAAAGCACAGTTGCCAATATTCCAATTCTTTCAATGCATTCATTGTTTAACTCGAAGATTGTGAAGCAATCGAAGAGTTATTGGAGGGGGACGAATCTGTCACTCACTAAGTCACTCACTTCCCTGTAAACGTGAGCCTTATTCACTTTCGAATCTCACAACCTTTTAGCAATTGACTGTGTATATTTGGTTTACAAATTATGATGCTAAATGAAATTTCTATCCTTCAGGTTACAGCATGACAGAACTTCCCACAGAACTCTTCATCGTCCTCATTCTTTTCCAATCTCAAGTCTATGGCTTGGTGAGGACTGACGATCAAAGTTCATCATTTTTCAAACAAAAAAACAACGCGCGTGTCAAAGGACATGTCATCAAAACACTAAACGCTGCAAGTTTTACTACCTGTGCTCAACTCTGTTTAGTTAACTCACTGTGCAATTCAGTTAATTTTAAGACTCGTGGTGTTTGTGAGTTAAACGATGAATTGCCGAATGACAGTAATGTTGAATCAGATCACAAGGTCATGTTAGGATGGTGGATCTCGATTCAGATGGATACATTCATCTTTACCTCTCTTGGTGCACGAGGTCAATATGGACCAACAAATTCTCATGGCTACAATGGGAGCAATTTAGAAGCAAAAGTCCAGGTAGAGAAAGGCATACAATCCTGGACAGTACCATTCACTGGTAATTATATCATAGAGGCCTATGGAGCGTCTGGAGCAAACGGTACGTGCTCAGAATCAAGTTGTCAGGGATGGAGCGCTGGCGGATATGGCGCTAAAATAACTGGAACCTTCACCTTGAAAAAAGGGACACGACTAAAACTGATTGTTGGACAAGAAGGCTTGTTAAGATTTCCTCACAATTATTCTCCTGGAGGTGGTGGAGGAGGTTCGTTTGTAGTCGTTTCTGATATGAACACACCATTAATAATTGCCGGAGGGGGAGGTGGTGGGGGTATAACGGTGAATGGGGCGGCACGTGATGGCGATCCTGGACAAATGTCAACTAACGGAAGTCGTTACGGAGGAAGTCACGGTGGTGGTGGTCTGCGTTATGAAAAAACAAAGAAACAGTTCTCTCCACAGTTGCCACCATTCTTTTCTTCGTCAGGAGCTGGTTTTAAAAAAGACGGAGATTCAGCGGGTGGAACACAGGCTCAAAGTTTCCTCAACGGTGGTGCAGGAGGATTTGGCGATACACAGGGCGGATTTGGTGGAGGGGGATTTGGCTTAGCATATTCCCCTGGTGGTGGTGGGGGGTATAGTGGTGGAGGAGTGGTTATGGATAGTGGTGTTGGTCAGGCTGGTGGTGGAGGCTCCATCAACAATGGATACAATCAAGTTAACCAAGCTGGTTATAATCACGGTGATGGAAGAATTCTTATAAAACTATTTCAATGACGTCATCATTTATACTTTGGTAGCACCATGGCAACTTGAAATTTTAAGCTTCTTTCCTGAAAAGGGCGTAAAGAGTGCTCCCTGATAGCATTTCAAGGTGACTGAAGAATGGTGGAGATACTGTCTGATGCTGAAAAAAAGAATACATTGTATTCGGCTTTGAATGCTACAAAATAACTTGGATCTATATCGAGTCTGGAAATCATGCTGGAAATCAATGCCCAAAAATTAGAAAATAATGATGACGAATAGAAATATATTTTCAAACGATGCTTAAATATAAGTACCAGCGCGTTGTTGTGCCAAGGTACACATTATTGGGAATAGAGCAGGAACATTATATGCCAAGTAAAATTATTCGTTTTTAATCATCTCTCCTCTATTGAATTCAGTTTCAAAATCAAATAACATTGTTCGCATGTTATACTTGAATGCACCATAAGGATCGTCGTGTGAGAGTATCATCATTAAAATGTAGCAATTGAACTTATTACGTGGAATATAGTAAAGCGGTGTCAATTCCTATGTCTTATTGTTTGAAAGTTGAATTTTAATTTGAAATAATTCATATTCGTCTGAGGTTTAAAGTTATCATTTCAGTACTGACTTGTTGAAACAAAAGTTGTCTTCACTGTCGGCCCTGCACTTATATTGCTGTTGCTGTTGCTGTTGCTGTTGCTGTTGTTGATATTATTGCTATTGCTGCTGTAGATGTTGTTGCCATTGATGTTACTGTTGCTACAAAGTTGAAATTTAGCGATATTTATTCCCTATTTTTTTAGAGGAAAGGTAATTACCATAGTAATCACGCAAATCTATTTTCATAATTACCTATCAAATAAAAAAGCTCAATAGTTTATTGTGTTCAACTTATTAATTGCTATTAATTAATGGGACATTAATTACTGACTTTTCGTGACAAATACAGAAGTCATACAAAAGAACAGACGCAAATAATGCTGATTGATATTATCAAATTTGATTGGTCTAAATTCTCAGCCAATAAGATTAGGGATGTTCTGTCGACCTATTTGTATAACTTCGCCTTTTTCAAAAGGAAATTCTCTTCCGTGTGTTTATAAGCTAATGGTTTGATTACACATTGCACGACTTGTTGTGCTCATTATTGTAATAGTAATGTTGTTTTAACAAGTCAAGCACCTGTACTACAAGAATTTGCACCAAAAGGTATGTTGTTTTATTATCTAAATTGAATTGCCCGTTCAGTTGGCACAGTTGTCAAACAAAACCACAACTTACTAAAAACATGTTCGTTGATAAATCAAGTACTTTTCAGTAGGTTTAGATAGTTTTAACGTCCGAACTGAGATATGCGGTCATCTTGAGTCTAAAGCTGCGTTTACACGAGCAATTTTTCCTTGGAAAGGAAAAAATTGCTCGTGAAAATGGGGTAAAATGGACGATCTTTCCTTGTCAAGGAAAAGCCAACATGTTCGCTTTTCCTTGACAAGGAAAAATTGTCAGGGACGAAATTTGCTCGTGCAAATGGACAACAAGGAAAATGCGGCAAGGAAAAATTACCAAGAAAAACCTGTTGACCATTTACACGGGCAATTTTTTCTTGTCAAGAAACTTGTGAAGGAAGAATTGCTCGTGTAAAAGGAACTTAAATAGGGGAAATGAAATGTTCGCTATGATAACAATAGTTGTTTCTCAGGCTGTTTTTGTTTGTTTGCTTTTCTTGTTCTTTTTTTTCCCGTTTTTGTTGTTGCTCTTGTTTGTTGTTACGAGTACATGGACAACAATCGATCGAGTTGCTAAGATAGTAACGTACTATAATATGTTTATTCGATAATATCCTTCATCTGCACGCTGCAATATTTTTCCTGTTCACAAAAATGTTGCTTTCGATCCGATTTCGAAAATTTCTAAATACTAGTAGATTGTGGGTGAGTGGAAAAATATCTGCGACAAAACGTCGCAAAAACATCTGGCGAAATCAATTTCAAAACACGTTGTAGCGGAGAATGGAGAACCTCAATTGTCGAAGGCAGATTTATTAAATAACAGAAAGTGAACACGGTCGAGCTGTTTGACATTCCACTAATTCTGCTAATTGTTAAGTTGCGTGAAATAAAAATAAATGGAAAAATTGAATTTCGATTTAAAATTCATTATATATTCACATGGTTTTTATTCGTTTTTGCCATTGAAATGTATAAAGATTGAGTGTATAGAATATAAATTAACTAGCGAATAGGATTTTTTTTGCTCTCTAATTAACTTACCATTGTCAATAAACGTACCGGTCGTCATTTATCGTTATGTGCACCTTATTTGAGAATGTCCTATTGCTATAAAAACTTTAACCATATCAACAACTAATGTTTTCTTTCTAATTTTTTTAATACAGAAGTCTATCATAGCTCCGTGTGAGCGAGCAAACGTAACCGGCTACCCTTACGGTTCATATGACGTAGAATGGAGCAATTTATAAAGATCGATTTTTCTTCTCTTACCCAAGAAGAGTCCGCTGCGCTTTACAACGTGCTGTTGAAACAGAAAGAATTTGAAGATTTGACTTGCCATCGACGAAGGTAAAACACCTCAACCGTAGCTTTAACTGACTTAAAGTGGAATTTTAGAGAGTTTTAACTCTGCTTTAATTGTACTCAAAGGACATCAATTTGTGTGTTGTTTTTTTTCATCACCTAATCTTTCAGCATTATTTTTTACTTCTCTTCTCTATTATAAATTCCTAAGTTTTACTTTTAACATAGTTAATCTAGATTAAGTATGGTTTTACTCCACAAATAGATATTTTAGTTTATTAATATAAATTCGTCTGCCATCTTGAATTCTATTTCAAAAAATTGATGCTCAATGCACTAGTTAGACTATGGAGAGTAGATTCCATGAACGACTCATAAAAAATACATATGCGTTACCATATAAAACAATTAATTAGCGACGTTTTTCTTTCTTTTTAATGACCCTTTCCCAAGATGTTGTTTCTGCAGAACGAAAGCGAGGCATTTGCTGGGTCACAACATTTTCTCGCGTTCACAATAGATGTAGAAAATTGCTGTGCAAGCAATAAAGTTACACTTTGATAACTCATATTTTGGCGGCAAAGCGTTTACTACAAACGCATATGTTTAACTCGAAGATTGCGAAGCAATCGAAGAGTTATAGGAGGTAGATAGATTATGGTGTGTGAGGTGAGGTGGACTAGTTAATAGGTCACATATTTTTTCTGTAAACATACGGGCATTTAGAAGTCCGTAACCAAGACGGCCAGGTGTTTTCATACAGAAGTGGCTTTTAAAAACACACAAAATGTGATTTTTGAGGTCTGGACGTTCTTGTATAATCTGTTGATTTCAGAAGTTGTTTTAGGAGATATAGTGTCAATATGGCTCATAGATACGATGATTTAAAGGATTATTCCGATCCTTTCTCGATCGGTATTTAATGCTCATCGATTCATATATCCTTCGTAAAAAATCGATGCACGGACGAAACTACAAGTAAGAACTCAAAATATAAATTTTAACGGTCAGCATCATCACTTCAAACTAAAAAATTGTGATGTGTTGATAATAAGGTCAAATTGAGGTCAATTTCATTTTATAGATTTTTTGTCGAAATTAGACCATATCTAAACAAAGTCTTAGGCTTCATGCAGATTTATGTACACGACTTGTCTAACAATCTTCGAGTTGTGTTGCCATTGGCGGCTTGATTTCAGTTAGATTCTATTTCTGTGGAATGCTACTAAGGCTCTGCATCCATCGCAGTTTTCACAACGATTTATCTTTTGGTTATTTTATGAAAAGTTCCCTTGACCGCCTTCGACGGTAATTCCTGAAAAGGCATGACAAAGTCGAATACAACTTTTCCCTTTGATATTTTGCTTGCTCTTCACCCATTGTGATCACGTAGAAATGCTACAACCTTTGGTTCTACAGAACCATCTATCTTGGAAAGGGCCCATTCAAAATGATGGGTATTAATCTATTCTTCAGAATATTTTTCTTTATATTTCTCTAGGGATTTGAGATTGGAAATTATACACTTGGAAGAGAGATTATCTCATAGTGAGAGGACGTCACAGGACGTTGATCTGTGCAAAATCTGCTTCAAAGCCAAAGTCGCAGATTGTTTAAGTCTTCAGTGTAAACTGTGTCAGCGGAAAACATGCTCTCGTTGTGGTGTTCGAGAGGTGTGCGAAAAGCAGGTATGGCCATCGTTAAACTAAGACAACTGTTTCAACGCCGAATTTMATATGTGTCGAATTCCGGGTACGATTCACTTCGTCTCAAATGTTAAACACTTTGAAATCATTCCTAAAATATACACCTATTTCAAAAACCGTTTCGTCGCAAGGACACAGTTCACAGTCTTGAGCCTGCAAAGAATCTCGGGATTGCTATATATACTTATATACAACTGTACTTCACTTTCAGTTATTAAAAATTCTCGGTCTTGTAGTGAATATAACTTTAAATATCATTGACGGTTTGAAAACGTGGAGCATTTTTCAAAAGAAAAATGTCTCATGGCGAGACAAGTTCGATGAATTTAATACCGGCAATAGTATATCACTAGTGTTTGCCGCCATTGAATTCAAACCACATATATAAACATATTTTAAATATATTAATTACGCATGGAAATCCCGAGATTCTTTGCAGGCTCAAGACTATAATGGATTGTGTCCTAGGGACAACAACGCTTTTTGAAAAAGGTGTATATAATACAAATAATTTCCCATAATGACTTTGCAAGGATCTTGACGAAAAGCATGACGGTGTTGAGAAATATAACAATAACTGCTATCTGTAGTTATATTAATGTGTTATATGTACAATTTTTTGATCACAAAAAATCATGGTCTAGAGTCAATACTCTAGTGTGGAGTGATAATATTTCATGCTTTCCAAAGCATTCTCGACAATACAGTGGATAACGTTAACGTTAAAAAAGAAACTTGGTCCTTCGTAGGTCTGTAAGGCACCCACAATCTTGATCCTTTTTGTCCATACCATGATGCATTGCGTCAAAAGAGACATGACGTCATTAGTTATTATGAGAATGAAAACTGATCCATTTAACTTGTTTCGTGGAAGGATTGGAATTGCTTGCTGTGCAACATAAAAAAACACTACTTGTCCTCAACTGGAGACTGGTTCATAGGCGAAGATGCATCAATGATTAATACTCAGTATTTTCTTGACAAACTACACGACCAAGCACAACAAAAGGTACATGAATAACTTATTCTCAATAATATCTCAAAAATGTACTATGTTATGCCTCGTTATAATGGTACGAACGATGGATACAAATAATTTTCTCTAAAAAAAATAAGGTTTGAATGTTCAGGTCAAAAAAAATGAAGACGAGCCTTCGGGGAATAATCTATTATCCTTGTTTCCCGGGAATCTCGTTTTGTGTGTACCACTGATTATTTCTCACCGTTTTCTGTGACAACCTTTTTAAAAAAATAGAGCTACATTTCCTCAACACTAAGTTAGCATCCGTGCTTCGGGGTCTATAGTTAAATAATATTCTGAGACAACAGTCGGTAGCCCAGAACAGACTACATTAGTTCTGTTAGGGACGGACCATTTGAACTTTGATTGGGAGAAGGGAAACAATGTTTTTTATTTCACTGAAATATAGTCATGTGAAATGGTTCATGTACAGTTGTGCGATATTTTTACTTTTTAAAGTAAAAAGTGCTTAAAAGTGCTTGATTTTTTTTAATCAGGTCACAAGTCTTGATCGATATTTTTGGGGTATTCCCCACACCATCAAAAATGATCTGTCCCTTAACAATCAATGCATGTTTTCAATAGATCGAACAGCCATCGAAATCGTCATTACAAGCTGATCCAGAACCAGAATATCTCAGTCTTCCTGTAGATCGTCAATCGATTCCAAGAGACTGCGACAGCGTCATATTGAGCGTCGAGGATAGTGATTGCTGCACATCTGCATACTTCTCTCCTTCTCCTACTCCTTCTCCTACTCCTTCAGAAGAATTCTATCCAGGCATCCATGCACTGAATATGGCCGGAGCAATAGAATATGACAGCCCTGATAGCAGTTACTCAACTGGGTAATAGATCGTGACTGTATTTTATCACTATCCATCGTCCCTAACAACCTTTGCATAAAACCACTACATGTTAACAACATCTACATGGACTCTGTTCGTTTATCGTTTTCAAAAAAATGCTCCCTTGAAAATCTAAGTTCGAAGTAAACAAAACAAGAAGAAGCGTTGAGATAAAAATGTTTTCTAGAGTGTCGTTTGTTGTTGATCGTTTTTGTAAAGTGTTTGCTGAATGTGATGGAGTTGTAGCTAGTAGTGTCTTGTAGTGTAGGCATGAATCCACATAACGATGATAGCTATCAAAGTTAATTGCTACAAAATAGGCTTGAATAGAAAATAAAGGATTCAGCATAATTTATCACCAATCTTGTGCTATTTAGGTTTCGTGGATGAAATGCACGTCTTTTATTTTCTCTCTCTACCAAGCGTTTAATACTAATTTTTGTCTTTCTTATTAAGAGGGAGCCCAAAGATGGAAATGACAAGATCTAAGGTACATATTCATCATTAAAGCCATCCATATCTTCTGATATTCTATCATTGTTGGACTGCGCACGATTTTGATATCATTGGGTGATAGTACATTTATTCTTCGGTTTTCGCTATACGTCACAGCGGCCATCTTGGAGGAACTTTAACAAAGGATTTCTCATTAGTATCTATTGTTCATTCCTCCAACATTGCCGCCGGTCTTTTATCTTTTGAATCTCATGGGAATGGGTGATATTTTTTTAAGTTGACTAGCTTGTACTGCTTGTACTTTTTGAAAAAAAAAATATTGGCGATGGCATCCCATACTCCATAATTTCTGGTATATTTTATACGTACTTGAAATATGAGTCAAAAAGATMATAATTTCTGAATACTGCTGTATTTAAAGAGGCATCCAAGTGACATGACCACACACCAAGGACGGCCAATCATCGAACGTCTTACATTGACCAAATACAATGCTTCGACCACAACAGAAGGTACATCTCAACAGCATCCAAGAATTTCCAAATATCAACGTTAATTGACTTGGTATGTTCTTTGTTTTGTAGGTTTACCGTTTGGTACTCGAATCGTTGGAGGAAAAATGTCTGACGGAGTCGTAATCGGTGCCTATGTGACCCAAATCAACCCATCGAGCAAAGCATCTACATCACTCAACATAGGTAACAAAGCATTGTAGAGAAAAATAAAGATACGGTTTGTTTCTAAAAAATATCGTTGGGCTGCTAATGGGAACCGGAGATAAGTAATCTTGTCACAAAGTCATTCTTTAAAAAAAATATAAAAATGTTCAATAGGCCAAATTAATCGCACACAAGGGCTGGGCAGCCTGTGCCATAAACGTGATGCAGAGTTCGTCATGCAAGACAGTGTTCTCTTTTATCAAAATGTCACGTGTTAATGGTCATTCATTTCCAGGAGACCAAATTATTGAATGGAACAACATTTCGCTTGTGGATTCCACATTTGAAGAGACGCAAGAGGCTATCAATTCATCTCCAAACTCCGTGACACTTGTAGTAGGGCATATCAAGTACGTGACATCATAGAAATATTTCTTATTTAATTTTGCATGTCGTTTAACGGTTTAGTGATTTAAAATTTCTTGATAATTAATTCCTACAGAAGAAAGAAACAAACATTACTTAGACCATCAAGCAGTCAAATTATAAACGATGCCATCGAGAAGACACGTGCTAATTTTGGTAAGTGAAGCATGATTGGAGTGAAATCCAAAAACCCGTGAAATAGATATTGCACTAATACACCTTAGTAAGCTCTAATTACATTGTTTTGTTTTGTTTCTATTTGACTATCACGGTTTTATACACGTACATCATGAAATAAATGTACTTTGAAAAAGGCAGCATTTCAAGCATGGCGCGGGACGCGCATGTCAAGATTTTTTTAGCACACTTAAATTTTCGCGCGCTGATTGGCTGAAAAGATGACATGCGCATTGTGCTGACACCATCGTGTCTCGCGCGCGCTCAGCTGAAAGAACAGAAAGAATTTTTCTAATTTTTAGATTTAAATGTGGTAAAAACAAATTGTACACGGTTTTTCGTTGTATGTCCTCGTATTGACACACTCAGTCTTGACGTCATAAAATGTTCAAAATTTTGCCGTAAACCACTTGAGTTTGAAGAAATACAACTCAAATCCAGTTGCGCAATTTGTTAAGTGTTCTAACGCTGTATTTTTCAGCTAACTAGATAACTATTTATAAACGTAATTGTTCCGTCTTTACTCAAAATACGATCAAATTGAAGAATACAAAGTTCTTGGTAACTGAAGCTGAAAAGAAAATCAATTATATTTTTGATGTTTAGCTAAGGAAGGAACTCTCTGCCTCTCGCAAGAACAGCTTCTTTCAAGGCTCGAGAAGAACAGGTCCACAGACAGCATAATAAAGGAAGTAAGAATTATCTATATGTAGGTTAAACCCAACCGAGTCATAGCGTATACATCTATAGTTTAAAAAAAATTGTCAGCTATATCTAAGGTCGTAGAAGCTCGTCAAAGCTACCGAAAGGCTGCATGAGATGGCAAATACTAGTATTTACAAGGTTGTGGATGTGGTCGCGCGGAGATACGGACTTTATCTTCGAGCGTTGAAAAGATCTCTTACGAGAGATGATAGTGAAAATATGAAAATAACAACTTTTCGAAAGAGAAAAATATAGGTATTTCATATAGACAGTTATGATAATTAATTATATTAATTGACAAACTGTTCTTATAGAGTAGCAATAGGTTTAACTAATAACCCAAAATGATGCCACTGGCAAATGACAAGAAATACTACTCTTTGTAAATGTACACATAAAATCATTGAGAATTCCGTTTGAATAAATCCGCCAAAATGAACTCAAAACAGCAGTTAAATTCAGTTTTTGATAGCTTCCCCGCGACTTCAAAAACATTAAGCAGGAGTCCACTTTAACTGACAATAGATGAACACACTGATTCTAATCACAATTGACATTACTCAAAAACATGTTTTCGTTTTTTTTAGCAAGCATTATGTAATAGATATGGTCTTCAATCAAGAATTCATGTAAGTTAACAATTTCGTGGACCTCAGCAACGGTCTATTGTTGCTTTGTTTCATGATATTTTATTTCTATGTATTTTGATCTCATGTAATTGTATATATATTATATATATTGTTACATTTTTTCCATCCCTCAGTAAACGGCTGTTACATGGTATCCCCGTCCACAGCACTATACACGTATCCCTTGTAGTGTAGGGAGGGGGCCGGGACACGTAACCCTCCAAATATTGTGGAAAAGTTTATAAAGTGTATAGAGTAAAAAATTGAAATATGCTATTGTTTGAAATCTTTTCCTATCACGTGCTCCCAATTCTCGCTACTCTCCTGCGCATGTGCACTTCCGATCACGTCATACGTGTGGGTGAAGAAACTGTTCAGCGTCCGCATATGCTCATGTGTTTATAAGTAAGCTATTACTGACCGTAACGTTTTCGTATTGAATTGTGCGGAAATAGCCTAGTACTCTGATGGCATCTCTATCCAACCTGCTACTAATAAAATGTTTCTATATTCTTTTTTCTAGATATCTTTGTGGCATGACCCCGAGAGAAACAACCTTATCATTAAGATTATTCGAGCACAAAGTCTATCTTCAGGGGCTTCAGTTCGGGTGGAGTACCCCAATCCTTACGCAGTCGTCAACCTTTTACCAAGAAAAACGTAATGATAAAAAAGGGTTTAGAAAAACTTGTGCGAGAAACATCACCTTTCAGTCTGGAAGTCGCATTTTCGTTTTTGAGGAAGGGGTGTGACTCATGGCGAATGCTAAAAGGCGTTGTTGCACTCTGTGCAATTTTTCCTAGCAATTTGTTCCGTAATGGGCGCGCTAATAACCAATATGTAAGGCAGTGTAGGATATGTTTGGGATAAAATATGCCGGATTGTTTTGTTTTCTCCAGAAAATCTATCCCACAATGCATTGCAGATCAAGTAGTGAAGTAAAAGCTTCAGAAGTCTATTGAGAAAAAGTCCATGGAGATTGAATTGCATAGCGCAACAAAGGCGCGTAGTACACAATCAGTTACTGACTTTAATGACACGATAATTGTCTTCTCCTTCTTTTTCTTCTTCTCGTAGTCTATCAACTCAGTTTAAAACGAATGTGGAATACCAAAGTGTTCATCCTATTTGGAACCTTACTTTCATTTACTCAAACATTACCAAAGAAGAGGTAGCCAGTTATGTTTTAAAGCCGCTAATAAATTGTGATAAAAAAATAAACCATGTTATCAACCATACCATTCAATCACGCATATCATATTCATGAGAACAAATATATCGACCTCCACTTTCTTGATGTGAAACAATGATTTTGGCCATCTTCCCATTATCGCAATGTAATGTGATGTATAAAATTCTCAGTACTTTGTTTATGTATTTCGTAGTTGCTATACAAGTCCCTGGAAGTTTCATTATGGAGTGAACGGTCTACCAAGGTACCACAGTTTATTGGTGCGGTAAGTAGACGTTGTCAGTGTATTAAAATAATTTTAATGATGTAGTTGGTAGTATGGCTAGTTGACCCTAGTTAGTGGATCAGAACGCGTTTATATTGAAAATCTGGTTTTTTTATCATCTTGTGGTACCTGCCATATCTCAAAAAGATGTCCAGGTTCAAAGATCCAATCCACAGCCATGTCTTATTTTACAATCAACATTGAAAAGGAATTAATATTCATTTTATAATTAAAGAAGCTGAAGAGGGCGCAATCCCTTGCTTAACGACACAAACACAAGCGTAGAAGCAAGTTCTGTTTAAATGCAAACGGTGTTTCTCAGAAATAGTTCTGATGATTTTTTTACATTTTGTTATTTCTTATAAGGTGTTTGTTGAACTAAGTCAAGATGTGTTGAGTAATATTCCTCAATGGTACAATATAAAGAACCAAGTAGACGTGCTCCACAACATCACTATCCCTACAAGTCGTCGCTTTACAGTCTCCTCGTCGCATGATGGTAACGCTTTCACAGTTATAAATCATGTGTAAAATAGTCTTCTTCACGGTTCTTTTTTAATTCACACCTACATCTCATTGCTAAAAACACTACAAAAACTTATATGTTGGCCTGGCCAGATATTTTATTTCTCTGCAGTGCGAAACTATATAGTAATAAACATGACCTTTTCCTGATTTATCATTTCTCAAAAAACCATATCTATGCTCTAGGAGTTATTGAACTATTAAGCACTCTGAAAGTAATAAATAAAGCTTTACATAAATTACATTTAATTAATATTTTCTGATGTAATACATATCACATTTACATTCTCTTATGCTTAATAGTTATCAACTCTATCATATCGACCAGTAAAGAAAAAGAACATTTTGTGGAGATTTCGAGGACATCAAGGAACGTACGCAGCTGTATTGTCCGACAGAGATCCCCACGAGATGTAGTTGACAAAGATAACACATTTGTTTACAACAAAAGGAGAAAGACAGATTCCGGTGCAACCGCTAGCTATCTCGTCCGCAGTCGAACCCCATCCAAACAGTCCATCAAAGATGATGCATTTGGTAAGAGTTAATTTGGGGAAACTTGGCTAGAGACCTAAGGTTTGAACCTTGAGGCTAACCTAACCCTTTAATCCCAGATCTGGGAATACAGGGTTAGCCTCGACTCGGGAAAAATTTAAATTGTTAGCGCTATTGTACTGGCAGCATTGTCCTTGTGGTTTGCGGTGTTTGCGTAAGAGAATCTGCTGTCATATAGAACAACGGTTATTTGAATTTGAAAATGCAGAGTATTGTTACTAACGAGAAGTTCAATAGAACTGCGGTCTTGGAATGACTGATAAATAGAGGATATTACATGGACGCGCGGAGATATAGATTTTATCTTTGAGTGTTGGAAAGATCTCTCACGAGTGAACGTTATCATATAATTGTATATTAAAGTAGATTATGTCGTAAAATAGCTTTTTTCTTACTTTCACTATATAGAAAAAATATATAGAGAAACCTCAAATGTGTTATTTTCACTCGGTAAAAATGACATGTTATTTTCATTAGTTAAAATATCAAGTTTACGAAATAGAGAAATATAGGTATCTCATAGATAATTGTATGATAAACTAATTTATTTCTACATATTTAGATGGAGAGATAACTATGGAGGATACCTTTAGAGGGAGAGGGAACAGCATCTTAAGTTGTAAGGGTTTAGACACACAAGGTATACACATGCACATGTCATACTTCTAGGCCCAGTATATAACCCTGGGTGCTTTCCACACCTCGTCAGATATTAGTGTTACAATAAATTATTTGGGTGACTATGTCAAGCTATTGAGGGAATGATTGCCGCGAAAAATGGAAAAGCCACTAAAATCAAACTCATTGTTGAAGACTAGCACTTTGTCTTTTTTGTTGTTCTCGACTTATGCTTATCACGTTGCCGCAATGGGGCTTTACATGTAAAACAACGACAATTTTGAAATTTGTAGTAAGCGACATGATACCTCATGTTATGCGATGACGCTGACAATGTGCATGTGCGATTCTTTGTGCATTTTTCTCAGGCTTTCCAAGAACACATAGCGCACCAGCAACACCATGCGGGAAGACTGACTTTCATCCCATGTTTGCATATTCACCTCGCTTCAATTGTCCTTTTTGGCAAAAATCCAGAGATGACGTAGCTTCATGCACTAATTCCAGTCAAGGAAGTCTACGTGGGAGTCCTTTATGGGACAAAACAACGAGTCCAAGATCTGAAAAAACGACAGTAAGTGAAGAAAGGGAGAACAATAACACAAAGATGCTTCCTGCAGTGTATTTGACAGCAGCAATCGACAATGAAAGCAACACATCAGAAGCTTCACTACAAGAAGACAGGAAGAAAAAGAGATTGTTTTTTAGATTTCCAAATCCTGACTTCAGTAGCGAAAGGTGAGAGGCGAGAGGAGAGGAGAGGAGAGGAGAGGAGAGGAGAGGAGAGGAGAGGAGAGGACTTTCAAGACATAACCTTTTTTTTAATTAAGTGACAGAAAAACGTCCTGCAGTTCGTATTCATTTGATGATGGCCCACAAGATAATGAAACTGGTCCAAATCAAATATGTACATCAACAGACGGAGGCCAAGGTAACGTGTAAATTAAATAGCAAAATAACACATGGGTCGTGCAATTAACACAAGCTGGGGATTCATTTAACACCGCATTCATCGGGAAGGCGGAGGAAGTAACATCAATTGATCACAGATGCATCGGTAGAAAGTTGATATCTACCATTAATCCAATGACATTTTCTATTTGTTGAAGTCTCTAAAAATACAACCAATATTATTGACATGTTTTTTTCCTAAAAGTAACTCTATATGTTTGTTTTAGACCTTGGGTATGTGCGAATCGGCTTGGTGATTGAGAATTCTGAAGTTCTGGTAGTTGATATAATACGAGCAAAGTTATTATCATTCAAATCTGAACAGCAAGGTGGAAGAATTCCACACTTGGGTAGGGTTTTTTTGTAATTGTTTAACATAAAATAGAGCTGACAATGTCCCACGTCACTGTGACCTTATGACGTCATGTGATGCTCGGTGAAATGGTCTATGGGATTGACGACCTACAAAATGAACCAGACACAAACACAAACACAAGCATTTAATGCTTATTTTACAGACAGGTCTTTGAGTATCATCTAATGCCGACCAGGCTTGCGTCCCAAATAATTCTTTTTTTTTTTCAAAGCATTCTTGACTACGAATAACGTTAATGATATCAGTCATCCTGAAACATATATTAATAAAATGATGTTGCCCCATATCTGTCATCATTAGTCTTAATTATATCTAGTGAGGCCCATATAGTGTGCACTACTATCAAAGTTGTTAATAGTTTATTTGTTCTAGCCTCATTCGTAGGAAATTCTTTGTCGCGGGATTCCTGTTTTAGGGCAAAAAGTCGGCCAGAGGGGGGAGGGGTTAGGAATCTCTCGGTACCAGTTTTTTTAGGTCAGGATAAATCAACACAGGAAGACCAAGGAGAGAAAATATCCGTATCCTAAAAGAGTAGTCTGTGAAGAAGGCTATACTCAGCAGTGTTCCTTAATGCACAGTATTACTATTGATCTGATACTAATATTTCAGATACATACGTAAAGACTTACTTATTAAACGATGGCACAAAAACCTGCAAGAGAAAGTCTTCTACAGTCCGACAAGACAGCAATCCTGTATATAACTGGCAAGTCAAGTATTCAACCGAAGAAATCAGCAAAAGCATGCTATATGTAAGAATAGTAATATTTGATAATCATGTTCGGGGGCGGATTCAGGGTGACCACGGCCTCCCTTTTGCTGACTAATTGATTTCTCAGGATCTCAATAGACTTCTGAACCTTTTACGTCACTACTTGATTTCCAGTGCATTGTGGGATCAGTTTCTAGAGAAAACAAAAGAAAAAATCCGCCATGTTTTGTCCCAAACATATCCTACAATCAATGCATTGCGTATACGGTACATGACGTAAAAGCTTCAGAGGTCTATTCAAATGCCCTTTTTCGTAAATTGTGGGATCCGCCCATATTATTTTGTTAAAAAATCAGGTTCGATCTTTAAGATTAGTCTTTATATTTTGCGCATTTAACATGACAACAATTACACAGCTTTTTGGGAATATATTTCTCAAAAATGTGATTTCGTCCCTGGGTGGGTTCGAACCACCAACCTTTCGGTTAACAGCCGAACGCGCTAACCAATTGCGCCACAGAGACTACCCTGAATTTATACAGGAACTTCTTGTTTAAAATGGTAGAGCGTTTTCGCATAAATGAAAAAATAGCAAGCTAATGGCAGAAACGCAAAAAAATAAATACGTTTTGTAGACTATACATAGATTGACAAGCTGTCATTTCTATATATAGCCATTTCTATATTTGACTGATCATAAAGGGACAAAGAATTAAACTCTTGTCTCAAATTATTTTAATTTAATAATTTTAAGTTCATAATATAAATGGTTTAGTAAAAATATTGAAAGCAGTTTCTGAATTCACTTTTATAAAAACTTAACTGGTTAGATAAAGCCACATGTTAATATTAATTTTATAGACTTTTTGATATTTTGAAGTTGTCAGTCAAGTGTGTAGAGCTAATTCAGAAAAAGTTGAATACTAAAGATAGTGTTGCATTCCAAGACAGCAATGCATCGTTGGTCGTTTTATGGCTGCTCAAGCGGAGTTTTTCGTGGTTTAAAATTTCGGAGTTACTATACCATCTCCGTACAGTCAAGAACTTGTGGTCTGGAATGTACTATGCAGTATATAGTGTTAAAGGGACATGGTCCACCAGCATCCCTTTCGAGCTTTTGTTTATGCTTGAAAATAGAAATACATCGTAATATAAGTAAAAACTTACTCTTTATTATTCCTTTATCCTATATGAATGGAGATGCTTTAAGATTCGACCGTTAAACCGATGGATGGAAACGGATTGCAAATGGATATTCGAAGTCACCTCATTTTCCATATATSAAAAATCTAAAACACGACCGCATTGCATGCTAGTGGACCATGTCCCTAGTTTAGAAGTATTTGGGTAATCGGACTCTATTGTTAAGGGAGGTGCTGTTTTTTGTGTGTTGTGGAGTGGTGATTTTGTGTAAGAAATATACATGTATATTAAATACAAATGGATTKATCCTKGTGTCATGGTAGACMYRGTWTAAHATTACTCATCAGGGGCTGAGATGATAAACTGTTGTCATTATGGTGGATGACAAACGTGTTTCATACTCCAAGGCCTTAGAGCTCAACCCTGTCCCTTTAAGCGTTCAATTTTTTTCTGAAATTGTCTTGTATATCGCGCAATATTTCTCATTAGCAAGTTATGTTCTTCACCACCTAAAATGCGTTATGCGAAAACGCTCGATCGTTTTAAGTATACTAAGTATTAGGCATCATTCATTCATTTCTATACTAAAAAGTGTATGAAAAATTTTGTGTTTTTAGGTTTGTATTTGGCAGAACCATGGAATGCTGGGTAAAAACTGCGCGATCGGAGAAGTTCATATTTCCCTCGGTCGTCTAATGTTATCAAAAAGAATTGTAGCTTGGTATAAGATATTTCCTCCAAAACTCCAGCAGACCGCACATGGCACAAGCTAGTTATTGATTGTATATTTGAGTGAAAATAACATGTTATTACATATTATATAACTAGACCCATAACTGCGTGAACTCGGGTTTCTTGTTGATAACAATCTAGTATTGTAGTGAATCCGAAAGATTGATATTCAGCGTAAATTGTTATGTTCACTTTCCTAGTTTCTTTGTTGCAGTGCATCAAACACGACCAAGAGAACGAAAACACTACAATAAATATCACCCTTAATTTACTTGTGGAGTTTATCTTTTGTATAATTCTTGAATTAATTTTGCCATTATTATTATTTGTTGACATCTTTTCAGTTTGTGAGCTTATAATTATTTCAATCTTTGGCTGCAAGCCGCGTCCTCATTTTGATAGCAGGCCGGGATAGCAGTCACATGGCAGGCTATAAACACAGAGTTTTTTATCTTCTCCGCTAAATAAAATACTTCCAATATAAAATAGTTCCAATCGTCGGTTTTTCGTCAGTAGAACTCTGTTCGCATTCCTTAGAGAAGTCCTTTGTAGTTTCAGAGCCTGTAGAATCAGTTAGTATAGAGTTCGCTTTTGATAAGATTGGTAGCTTGTTTGATAGATAGTTCACGATAAATTTCACGATAAGTTTCACGATAAATTTCACGATAAATTCGCGGTATCTCTCAAAATGCCCTTTCGAAAAACGCTCGACATCTTTTAGTGTGGCTATACCGCGAATGGTGTGTGGATTTGTAAGAGATTTGAGTGTGTTTGAAGTTGTCTTCCATCTCGTATAAAGACGACACCTCGACGACACCATGTAACAATGTAAAGATAGCACATGGAAGTTGTGAATGTCACGTGATTCGTACCCAGTGCATTCTAGTTTAGCCGAGACAATTTGTGTACCAAATACTACCATGACAAAGAAGGCCGAAACCTAAACTCGCGGTTCCTCTGGAACCCCGAGTCATAACATGTTAATAACATAATAACATGTTATTTTCACAAGTGGTATCTCTGTATATATTGGAAGTAAATAGAAGTTATTTTAAAACATAATTTGCTTTCATTGATATAATTATATGATAAACAGAATATTACATGGTCGCTTGGAGATACGAATTTTATCATCTCGTATTGCAATCTTTTCGCTACGCTCATATCACTCGTGAGAGATCTTTTCAACACTCGGAGATAAAATCCATATTTCCGCGCGCTCATGTAATATCCTCTATGTAAGCAGATACAATCAAAAAATCAAATAACGGAATCACTCTAATAAGATCAAAACAAATTTATTATTTTTTTCAAGAATGAATTTTATATGAGGATGTGAAAATGGTGAGCCTTCATAGTACTGTGATTCTAGCAACAGTTTTAGTTTTGATATTGTATTCGCATAACTATGGCTCGCATTCTCCACTTTTCACAGTGACGTCATCTAAACCAATATCACCATAGTAACTAGGACCACGTTCTCCTTCTAATACAATCTGAAAAATAAACAACACTGTATTTGATTTTATGGAAATGATTTTAAATGAATAAGTGTTTTGGTAAAATAAGGCAAAAATGAAATCGATGATCCAACAGATCACATAATTCAGCATCAGTGTAAAAATATCAACCACCGTCGATCAAAGCGTCAAACTCAGTTAATTGATTATCAAATATCATGATTACAGGATATTAACGGCGTATGTAGTTTTCTTTCAGAGAACCGTGATCCCAGCTCTAAAAACCTGATCATTGATCCCAAAAATAGCGACAGTTGTGATCCCTAATATTATCTTAAGGCGACGTTTACACTTGCGATTTTTGCAGTGCGATTGTCGCGCAATATATCGCCACTTTGATATCGTGCAACTAAAATCGTACGTGTGCGACGATGGAAAATCTCTGCGAAGTTGCAGGCAATTTTCAAGCATGGTCGAACGTTAACTCAGATGTGACGGTCGCGCGATGATCGCCGCGAGATTCGCTCTGCAAAAACCGCAAGTGTAAGCGGGCCTTTAAAATACAGACCCCTTTTATAATGATCTCAGTTCCTAAGCTTGAATCACTCATTGCACATGCGCATACCCTAAATGAAGACTTATTCATTATTGACACACGAGCCATTTTCCACGTGTTGCCTTGGTTACCACTTTTCTCCCAAACACGCTGTCTTTCTTTCTCTTGTACATCGATATAGACCCTTAGGGAACCAATGGTTTCACCGAACATGTGATACCAAAAAGATAAACACACGACCGTGGAAGACTGGTATTGCCTGCTTAGCAGCCTAGCCTTGTTACCAGTTTCGAAGGGAGTGGACGACTCTAAGTAGATGTAATATCCTAAACAATCGAAAGGAAACGTGTCAGTCAAATTATGCACGCACGCCACGTGACTTCACAGTTTTGTTTATATACAATGCCGGCATGCGAGTAACTTTTTTTATAAAAAAATAAAGTAATTATTGAGAACTATAATCTACGAAAGTTTGAGCTCTTTACATGCAGTATTTTATGAGATTCAGATACTAAGCGGTAGAAGTGCTAATGAGCCCATACATTCTCTCGAAATTTTGAAAGCCTTTTTTTTACGCGGAAACTGTTTCATATTGAAAGTGCTCGTTTTCGAAGAAGGCGTATTGCACCATGTTGTTCAATCCCTAGCTGCAGCACTTGGATTAGGTTAAAACACAAAGTGCAGTTATGCTAGTTATTCTAATTAGATGAATTAGAATTAGATTACAAAATGTAAACAAACGATTCGCCCTAAGTTATTAAACCTTAACACAATCACAATCACAATCATAATGATAATATAAGTAGCAGCTATGTACCCTTCCCTGTAGTATGATCACGAGATGGTCCAGTGTTCCTACTTGGTGTCGGTAGTTTCATCCACCACCAGTCGAATACGTACCCCCCTGACGCAACAGAATTAGTCGGGTCGTTACTCCACGTACAGAATGTTGGACGTAAAGAGCCAAAGTCGCAAAAGTCATCTTTGAAAGAAGAAAATGACAAAAAAATAAAATAAATGCTTTCATCATTACATCGTAAGGCACTTTTGTCTATAACTTTGTCGCGAAAAATTACACTCCTTGCTATGGACATCAAAGTATTTTTTTCGCACCACGCGACGACAACCGAAATCGTACATAAACTTAATGACATTCAGTGAAAATCTATTCGTCTGATTTCAATATTATTTTGAGATAAATAATACTTGAACGCATTATAAAATGTAAGACAAATGTACAAATATTACTATTAATGAACAATAAACAGCTCGAGAGGCCATAGTGACCCTTAAATATTGTAATAAAATCTAACTTCACATAGCTAGCTTTACCAGCTATGTTTATAAAATGTGACGTCGACGACTCACCAATGATCGCTGGCTCAGTCGTTATTGTCATCGTTGACTTAGTTGTTTGGGCAGCTGTTGTTGCAACTGTTGTTGTGTGGACCGCTGAGTTGTGGACTTCTGTTGTCTCGACTGCTGCTGTCTGTGATGATGACGTTGCTGTTGGAAATTGTGAAGAAGTCTGCGGATTTCCAGCAGTTGTTTTTGATGATGTTGTCATAGTTCTTGGAGACGATGCAGCTGTGCCTGACGATGAAGTAGTTGTAGATATTGCCGGTTGGAATGACGTAGTTGCTTTGGGAGGTGAGCTAGTTGCTGACTCAGAAGATACGGTGTTTGGTGGTAATGAATTAGTAATTTTCGGAGATGACGCAGTCGTTGGAGATGTCGTGTTTGATGTGCGAGATGACGTACTTGGTATTGGAGATGATGGAATTGTTGTTGGAAATGGCGCACTTGTTGATGGAGATGCTTTACTTGCTATTGGGGAAGACGAACTTATGGTAGATGTCGTACTAGCTGTTTGAGATGACGTATCTGTTGTTGGAGATGACGTACTTGTGGTAGATGACGCACTTGTTGATGGTGATGATTTATTTGCTATTGGGGAAGACGTACTTATGGTAGACGACGTATCTGTTGTTGGAGATGACGTATCTGTTTCTGGAGATGACGTACTTGTTGCTAAAGATGACATATCTGTGGTTAGAGATAACGTAATAGTTTGGTATATTGATGACGTTGTAATTGTAAATGGTAAGCCAGTTGTTGAAGGTGATGTAGATGTCGTTGATGTTGTTGTTAGGGGCAATGAAGTAGAAGGATGTGATGCACCACAGCGTCCATTTGTGAATGTTATATCATCAAGGCCAATATCACCCTGAAACGTAGGTCCCCGGACAGCCTCCAAAACAACCTGTGCAGAGAGGAACATAGTTTTGTTGTTTTACTTCTTTGGGTCATTCAGTGATTTTAAAAAGTATGTTTGCCGATTGACGAAAATTTGAAATTTTACTTAACAGCAATGTTATCCACCAAAAAGAGCCACAAATATGTAATACAAACGCAACAATGGTTTTTATTGAAAATATACTAACATCATCATCATCAAAAAAAAATATATCAGTCTCTGTGGCGCAATTGGTTAGCGCGTTCGGCTGTTAACCGAAAGGTTGGTGGTTCAAGCCCACCCAGGGACGATATCTATTGTATAAATTTTGTTAGAAGTTATTGGTAATAATCATTAACATTAAACACTCAACGATTTCAAATAGATAAGTCTCTGTGGCGCAATCGGTTAGCGCGTTCGGCTGTTAACCGAAAGGTTGGTGGTTCAAGCCCACCCAGGGACGGTATCATTGATATCTTTTTATATCATTTTAGCAAATTTGTTATCAGTGATAATTATCAACATAAAGTGCACTATAAAATATTTTTTATGTAAAAACATCAAAGTCACCAATACCTTATATTCAGTGGAGCTATGTATATCAACTTGACCCTTCATCCATTCACTGCCTTGATTCCCTTGCTTGTCCCATACCATCTCCAGGTTCGATGTTCCAATATTCTTGACATAAACCCTGAGATTTCCAACTCCAGCGCCATTCATACTATACCAAAACGTCATACATCGCGATGAGGATGGAGGGAAGGCTCGACTGAGCAGGCTGGCCGTGTTTCCAGTGGTCGCTGGACCAGAAGCTTCGGAATAGATGTAAAATCCTGGAAATATGATTAAATGATTAAGATGTCATCATTTACGATTGTCGTTATGACGACAACAACAGTAATCAAAACTAAGGTTAACTACCTGAACCGGAAGTGTGATCACCACTAGGCCCAGTCCCAAATGTTTGTGTAGGACCTGATATTCGTTGCCAATCCCAAGGGTTAGTGTCCGTTTTGTCTTGGGTCCAATGACACCACATATCACTATCAAATTGACAGTCATCCTGACCTGGGAAACAATGTATTTTTAGGCCATGTTTATAGGCAAAGTATAGGAAGCAATCTAAGTTTAACTACAACTACAACAACGTCTTTTAGTTCTTTTGCTCGAAAATATTAAAATTACTAAGTTACATGCGTATATGAAGATGTCTAATATAACTAGGAAATCATAGAATTTGGAATATGTTTCCAGAACAGTTATATACCCGTTGTAATATTCTAAAAGAAAAAAGCGCTCTCTACCAACCTACGTTAGAGAAGATATCTCACGAGCGTGAAACTCCATGATCAAAGGGTCTAACCTGATAGAGATGAAGCAAAGTGGAAAAAAAATAATATAAAAATTAGGTAAAACCTAATAGCGGAGCTCCCAAAAGAAATGCATGTTGGATAAAGATGGGATGCAAGACACATTGGTCAGATTTTTAGTACATCTAACAAAAAAAATTCCATTGCACTACATTAAATAATTATTAAATATTTTCTCTTCAGCTTTGTTGATGCAAAGCAGTGATATATATAAATATATGTAAAGAAAACCACTTATTTTGAATTATTGTGTGCATTCAGATGTGCACAATTTCTCATG